AGTTCCCTATGATCGACACCCGACTTACCCAAGCTATTATGTAATCTGACCAGGTATAGTAGCTATAAGTGCATAATTTAACTAAGTAGTTAGGTTTACAAATTTAAAAGTTGATAGGTATACTTATGCACATCATTTAAATCCAAACTTTCATATCGACGGATACTACAACTTTTATTTAGACTTTATCGAATAATTCACACTTTATTTTTCATTTTATGGTTTGAAAAGGCTTACACTATAAATGTAACACCCACAAATTTAAGCTAGTCGATTTAGATATATTAAGCGCTAAATATGACTTTTGACAGAAGATTATTTAGGATAAATAATCTTAACCCAAGTTAAGGTGTATGTGATAAGGATAACGTACATATAAAGAATACCAAAATCTTACTTCATATGAGGAAGTTATGATTTTTTGAAGTTTCGACGCATCAGTATACGGCTCGGAATCCGAAATTAAATTTTGGTCGATTGTTAGGAAAAACAATCTAAAAGAGAGTTGAAGACCTCGTCCATACCTATCCATCAATAAAAAGTCAGTCGAGAACGGATATTTTATGAGAGAGATATGAATTTTTAACTGACTTTAACAGTCTAAGCCTGTTAAAAATATAACTTTAGAAATAAAGTCAAAATTAGGAGACAAAGTCTAAATGAAGGTTGTAGATCTCGTCGATAGCTATGCGTGAATATAAAACCCGTCGAGAACGGAGCTTGTATGAAGAAGATATGGATTTTTGAAGAAATAGAAATTCGTCGTGTGAGCCTATGCACACAAACAGCATGCACAACGCACAATGACACACCAACCAAATCACGACACGTGACACCACCCATCAGCTACCACGCCAACACTTCTAACCAAGTGTGTGACCCATCAACTGCCACGCCAACACTTCTAACCAAGTACGCGACGTGCACTTGGGAATGCACGACGCTCATGTCATTTTTCAGCAATAAAAGACGACTGAAGTTTAGCTCATTCTCACTTAAAATTCAGCCAAATCTCTCTAGAATTCTGTCGTACTTCTAGCCTCTTTTACTCTTGAGTTTCTGATTACTTTAGCGGAGCCCTGTAGTGTTAGATAGCCGGTGAATAGAAGCTCCCGAATCAAATTTCTGCATCCATAATTCTCGGTTTTCATCAGAACACTATGTAAGTTGAGCTACACTTACTCTGCTTTAAGTGTAACTTATAATTATAATCATAGTCATTATTATGACTTTATAATTAAGGTTTATTAGTGATTCCAAAGTCATTATGCTGATTGATCTACTTATAGGAGTGATATGTAGGCTAGATTTAGTGAGGCGTTTAAAGTGGTATTTCCAAACAGTATACTCTGTATACCCAACGGTACCTACCTTCAATACGATCCTACCAGGTTGTTCCTTACTTGATAGATCTTGATATAGACATTGCGATTGTTGAGGAATCTAGATTGCCATTAGTCATATGGAATATCAGACTAAGATGTAGTAATTATCGTACTTAGGTCATGTCAAGGGGAAATCTCTAGATGTTAGCGAAGCTCTGCTCAAATCACTAGTCATCCACTTTATCAAGTGAGTGCATAGTTACGTTCAACTTAAACATAGATACAAGTATTCTAAATGCTTAAATTCTATGGGTGTTGTCTTGCTGTGTTTAATATATATGTGCAACATGATATAGTTATTACTTAATATATATATATATATATATATATATATATATATATATATATATATTACATATATATTACATATATATATATATATTACATATATTACGTGTGTATATATATATATATATATATGTATATATATATATATATATATATTACATATATATATATATATATTATATATATATATATATATATATATATATATATATATATATATATATATATATATGGGTAAAGTGAATATACCTAAGAACCTTATATAAGCTTATGTACCTAACTCCATAATACTACATCGGTTTGTATCATATTTACATTGTAATTGCCTAAGGTTCTTAAACTTCAACCTCATAACTTGATTACTTTCAAAATCTTTGGGCTTTCACCAATATCTTTCTTTTACATCACATGTTTCTATCGAATACCACCTGATGGGCTTCATATCCTACCGCTACAAATGAAAGGATGTAGGAGAAATATAATGATAAATTTCCAACATTTTTTGAAGTAAATCAAGTTTAGGGATGAAGTTTAAGAACCTTGGATGATTGCAATGAAAATTTAATGCAAAATGATGTAGTTTGATGAGGTTAGGTACCTAAGCTTATATAGGGTTGTTAGGTATATTCACTTTACCCTATATATATATATATATATATATATATATATATATATATATATATATATATATATATATATATATATATATATATATATGATGTTACACTTTCTTGCCTAATCGTTTAGGAAAACTATAGCTGACTAATGTCAAAGATCCTTTAGAAAAGATCTCATGAGGTTATCATTCTAGGATTAGGAAGTGAGAATAATTAGAATAGGGTAAATGGGTTATTTAAATGTTGAATATTTTATAATTAAAGATTATAATATTGTGGGTTGAAAACCCTATGTGTTCGCCAGGTTTCCCAACCCGACCCACTCAGTTTCCTTGTATCATATGTAGCGATACAAATATATTGATAGGTAATGTTATTATCTGCTGAGAGATTTACGGAGATGTAGACCTTTAGTATATTGAGACTTTGTATGTCTCCGTTTATGCTTATGTTTCTTATATCAGTTATCACATCGCAAACTTTTAAAATATAAAATCTTCTGAAACACCTTGATTTTGATATTATATCATGTCAAGGATATTTTGGGATAAATTTCGCAATAACAAATGTTTTAAATAAGCATAAACTAGAAAGTTTTAAAAAAGGTCGTGAAAATTAGAGATGTCACAAAAAATGATGTTGTGAAACTCATAACTTCTTCATACATGCTCTCTTTTCAACATTATTTATATCCCCACTTTCGTACCAACGAGTACTACAACTTTCATTTAATTTTTTTTTGTTCAATGAGCAACCAATTTTCGATTTGATTTTTATGACACACATAGATGTATCACGTCGAACTCAAAACTTCGAAAAATACTAACTTCCTTATATGAAATCAAATTTGGCTTTTATTTATATCGATAATTTCGAATTGACGAATACTACGACTTTCATTTAGATTATTTATCCTAAATACACTTTTATTTTTAATTGTTAGTTTTAGCTTTTCATTACATTTTTAGCCATATTTTTATACAAATATCATATTGTTATAATATTTATCTGTATAACATAATAAAATATCATATATAAAGAACACTTTTGTAAACACACTACATGTACGAATAATTCTTATTTATTCATTTATAATAAACTTTTACATTAATTCGCTAATGTAAATGAGGGTCTACGTCTATCTATGATATGTCTAACGAAAGGTGCGGACGTTACATTCATCACCCTTCCTCACCTTCTTTGGAGGCAACTTCAACCCACCACATTGACAACCAAACATCTAAAACCAACTTCAACACCCTTCTTCACCTTCTTTGGAGGCAACCTCAACCCACCACACAGACAAACAAACACCACCCTTATTCTTCCTTTTAACCACCTTCCCGCCACCATCGTTACCTTGGAATCATTAACGAACCTTGTCCCTCTATTCAAGCACCACCACAACTTCAAATCACCACCAGAAAACACCTACATCATCTACAAACCACCATGAAAACCTTTATCACCATTAACCACCATCAACTTCAAAACACCCTCCTTTATCCCTTCATGCACAAGTTGATGTCAAACCAGTTGCAAAAAATCAACAAAGGAAAAATGTCATCTAAACTAGGTGCAATAAATCAATTAAACATGCCAAATCTATCAAATGCAAAAAATGTTGATCTAGCAAGGAAGCGATTAAACAAACCAAAATCTACATATTTTTGCTGATTTTCGAATACTTGCTTCTACAAAGTAGACTTATCAAGATTTTTTTTCCTACTTATCATAGATGAAGGTGAAAGACAAATAGAATTTCTCAGAATATATTTTGAATCGAAGATTGCTGCTTGAAGAAACCCGATTTTTGAATATCTTCCCAATCGAAAAACGAATTGAATTTCATAGATGTAGTTGGCCGGATCTGAAAAATCAGAGATGACGTTGCAAAACGAATAAAATTTCTCAGATTTCGTTCTTTCTATGTATGAATAGTACAATATACATGTTCATGTAAATTGATGTTGCTGGTTTCAATGGAAGTTGGCTGTGTTAAGAATTTTAGGAGGTGAAGGCATTAAGATTTTCAGGAGGTGAAGGGGGTGGGGAAGAAGACAGCAAGGGGGTGCTGTTCATTTCATTTTTTTTTAAAAAAATTTATTTAAAGAAAAATATAATAAAAAAGGTATAAAAGTTTTTTTTTTTTATGGGTGAGGGACTAACCACGATAGAAATTGAAAGAATAGGGACCTTCCATTAGACCGAATAAAAATTAGAGATTAGATTTGATATTATTAAAACCATATAGACCATTTATGAATATTTGTCTTTACTTTATTAAATGTATATTAATAATATCGATACATCGGTTGTGCATCTAACAAGTGTGGGTGCATGTATGCTAACCCTCTAATAAATATATAAAGAAGAAATAATAAGTTGAAATTAACGACATGAAAAGATAACTGTTGTTGCAGCTACTGAAACAAGTGTAAATAGAAATCTTTCCTGCCAATAGTTTTTCCAAATAATGCATTTTCGTATCAACAACACACTTATTTCAATTTGTTAGGTAGTGAGGTGATACAATAAGCAAGGTTGAAAAGAGACCAAACATTCATCTATATTTCATATTGGTGAAGTATTTGACATTTAGATGATTGATATTTTCCCACTATATATATTGTAGTATTTCTTATGGGGTTGTTTCATTCAGTTATCCAATCGTAAGTAATATATATTCTGCTTAGTGATGGCCTCTTTAATGGGATCAGTGTCTGGCATGCCGATTCTGATCACAGAGAACTCGTGTCTATGGTCACGGAGGTTTCTGAATTCACACGTTTCAACAAGCATAAGAAACAACAGTGTTGCAGCGGTGGGACAAAGTGTCTTCTTATGTGGTTCCTCTTCTATTCACAGTTTTAAGGTCGTCTTCTTTCTCATTTATTCAAGATGTTTATTTTAATTCAGATAATTTAGTAATGCGTTACTTAAAGCATCCACGATGCTTGGTTTAATTGAATGGTTAAATGAGGTGGAATTTGTAGTTGGTATTCAATGGATTAAATTCAACCAAAGTGTGATGCTAAAGCTAACATTCAATGAATTTGAAGTTCAATGACTGCTTACATTGAACTTCTTAGAAGAGTTCTATACTTTGTAAGAATTAAATTGTAAAGTTGAATGAAAAGTGGAATGCATTCATTAATGACAAAGTCTCACACACATGAAATTCTCCTAACCGGAGTTTGGTAACTTTTTTTAGGCGAAGGCCATGAGGAGGGAAGAAGGCGAACGAAGATTCCCACCACAGCATCAGGATGGTCAACCGGGAAAGGAGTACCTAATGGATCCTCTCCCAATATTCAGCGATCCTAATTACCAGCCCACTAACAAACTGAAAGTACACTTAGTTCATTAAGCTTTTATTCTTCATGTCATTTTGTCACACTTTGATAGAGTGCTGCTAAATTAGAAGAAATTCTATCCTTCCTTTATGAAACTTCTGAGTTTGTAATTAATACCATATTCTCATTTGATTTCATTGCAAAAGTTTTCTAAAGTAAAACAGTGTAAATATTGAACCTTTGACCAAAGCAGCATAAAATCAGAAGAAGGATAATCTTGATTCTTGTCCACTTGTTTTCTCTTGTAAAAAGCCATTATTTTTTTGTTTGTTTTAAATAATTTCCTGGTGCAGGGGAAGGTGGCTTTGGTGATAGGTGGGGATTCGGGTATTGGGAGGTCTGTTTGCTACTTCTTTTCTAGGGAAGGTGCAACTATAGCCTTCACTTACGTGAAAGGTGTGGAAGACATAGATGCAAAGTATACTTTAGAGATCATAAATGATTCAAAAATGAGTTACGCAGGTGATCCAATTGCAATACATACTGATGTTAGGTATGACAAGAATTGTAAGAAAGTTGTGGATGAGGTCGTTGCTAAATATGGAAACATAGATATCCTGGTGAACAATGCAGCCGTGCAGTATGAAACATATACATTAGATGAGATTACGGAAGAGAGGCTTGAAAGGATATATAGAACCAACATTTTTTCGCATTTCTTCATGACAAGGTGTGTGTATCTCCTCTTATTCTTCAATTAATTTCTTGGACAAAATGTTTTTTCTGAGAAATTCTATTACTTGTCCCTATAAGAAGAATCTTGAGAGACTTAAAAAAACCTAATTAGTAGGTATTTATTTAATATAAATTTTTATTAAAATAGATTATCCGGGTTAGAATTGCTTTTAATTGATTAATCACGAGTTTGCAGAAAATGGATTTTGTATACAGTTGTACACTTGATAGATATCTTCTTAGCTTTATACATCTTCCAAATCAACTGTGCTATCTTGTGTTTATAGCTTTATTGTATCTAAAAGATTAGTTGATGGTAATACATTGTTAGACATTTGGTGACAAATCGACAATTCTACGTGTAGTCATCGACTTTAATTACTAATCCATGATCGAGTCTTTTCTCTATATGAGCATGGTATGTGCATTTTCTTTATCTACAAACTTGGGTAATTACAGTTGAAACAAATTGCAATATTGTGTGGAATTTCATAATTTGAAGAAAATTAATATAAATATTTGGTTCAAAACATTGTCTCACATGGAACTGTTATTTGAACCTTGTGTATTCAGATAATAATCTCTATAATCTTGCATGGTATCACATCATTCCAATCAGTAGGTAATTGTTGGAAATCATACTCAAGTTTAATTCCAATTAACGTGGAAACCTTCTGTCAAATATGTAATAGAAGAAAAATCAAGTGAATGATTTTTAGAGATTTATTAAACTGAATTAAGCATATTGTCTTTGGAATGGGAAGTGTCTACCATTAGTAACATAGATGCAACACCATCTTACCTCAAGGATAGATAGTATATGCACACAAAATTAATGATTGTGGCATTTATTTGTCAAACAATAATAATAATAATTTCAAACGCTAACACGCACCTCATAATCCTATTCCTAAATCGACACATTTGTCCACCACCATGAGACTTCAACCCTCAACATTTGGTTGAGGGGCACATTTCAAATGCACTAATACTCCTTAGCCAAAAACCCAAGTGTCAAATAACTCGATTATTTTGCACTGAAGTAGCTATAAAGCTGCAACAATTTAACCTGTCATTTTCACTATCTACACTAAAGAGTAGTTTGGAAATAGCTAGCTTTTGTGGTAAAACTTGTAGGTATATAAAAAGTGGATTAAAACTAAGTCTAAGGTCTTGTTTGCAAATAAGTCTAAAGTATAGGGGTCTAATGTGTAATAAGGGAAAAGTTAAAAGACCTTTGATGTTTGACCTAAAGTAGATGTTAACATGGACAAAGGGTGTTTTCAACTTTTCATCCAATTTTTTCACTTTTTCCCTTGTGTTCTCTTTGTGCTATACGAATCATCATAAAATACCACAACAAATTGTGATGTGTAGGCATGCTGTGAAGCACATGAAACGAGGAAGCAGCATCATAAACACCGCATCAGTGTTAGGATTCTCAGGAAGTCCAAAACTCATTGATTACGCGTCAACAAAGGGAGCCATCGTGAACTTCACCAAGAGTTTAGCAAGATTCCTGGCTGACAAGGGGATTCGTGTTAATGGTGTGGCCCCTGGACCTATCTGGACCCCACTTGAAGCTGCATCACTCGATGATGAGGATTTAGCAACCTTCGGGTCAAAGAATCCTATGAATCGGGCAGCTCAACCTGTGGAGGTTGGTCCATCATATTTGTTCCTGGCATCCAAGGAGGCTTCCTTCTACACTGGATCATTTCTTCATCCTGATGGTAAAATTCTATACACACAAACACATGCACTTAAACATTGGGTGAAATCTTTGGAGTTGTGGGTTGATCACGATGTTGCAATATTTTCTTGCAGGTGGAGAACTCGACAATGCTGTTCCTGACGTCAACAACAACCACAATACAGAAAACCCATAGCATAATGGGAGTAAATTTGATGTTGATAACCTTACCTACCTACGCAAAGGGTGAAGAGTTTACTTCTATTAATGCTAGTCCTTTGTCATTTCCATGAGTCTCTTATAAAAATGAAGTGAAGAATAATATAGTTGCGCGCCAAATTAGGTTGTGTACTTCAAAATAAGCTGATGTTCTGATCTATAATAAAATACTAATAAAAGTAAAATTCTAAAGGTATTATGATAATCAATGTGGGATTTTACCCCATTTTCTAGACATAACGGCCGTAAACCTATATATGATTCTGGCTTATTTAGAAAGTAGCCAGGGTACAATAATTCGTTTCAATAATTCACACTATATACAGTCACATCTGAAAAATATATACATAAATGTATTATTAATATAAAAGGGATTGCAACCACTAAATAATATGTACATAGACCACACGAGCACAAGAGATATATATATATATATATATATATATATATATATATATATATATATATATATATATATATATATATATAGTTAGTGAGCTTCAATAGAGAACCATAATAATTAACCAAGGAATCAATCTTTTATTTAACTTTTAAAACTTATTTTTTTTTAAAAAAACAAAAAAACTAAAAATACAAAAATTTATAACTTTTTATCATTTCTCTAATGATATTAAATTTGATTTTTTTAACGTCAAATTCACAATGTAAATTTTTGAAAATTCACAACGTGAATCCGGATTCACACGGTGAATCCGAAAAATATTTTTCACATTCACAATATTAATATATGAATTTAGATATTTTTAGATTTTTTTTTTCGATAAAGAATAAGCTCTAGAAATTAAAAAAAGATTTGGTTCCTTGAAGAACCAATAATTATGGTTCTCTATTGAACTTTTCCATATATATATATATATAATATATATATATATATATATATATATATATATATATATATATATATATACCCTTTATATACATGTTTTGAAAATCAAACCAATCATCGAACCAGTTGCCTTACCAGTTTGATGGTTCAACTAGATCCAAAAATAAAATTACTATCATTATTACATTATAACTAAATGTAGAATTATATATAATAAATACAAAATGTATAACAACCCTTCAAAATTAAAATCCGAATGAAAGTATGTAACTTACATAAAAACCTAATCTTCAATTATCTTTAAAAAAAATGAGAATAGAGGTTAAGAAAAATGGTTTATAAAATAGCCTTCAAATATCTATTTACTTATGTAGTCACAGCAAGGAAAATGATTAATTGCGGCGACAAAAATCATCGATAATAACTAGGGTTGTCGCCAGTAATAGTAATAGCGGCGATGCGTCGCCGGTAATAAGTTGTCGCTACTGCCTCAATGCTATTGATAATACCGTCGCCGCTAATGACCATGTCGCCGATATTGAGGTGCGTCGCCGCTAATAACATTGTTGCCGGTAGTAACCCTGTCCCCACTAATAACAATTTTCATTTTTTTAAGATAAAACTTCAAAAATGGTCCTGTGGTTTCTGAAAATATCAATTTTAGTCCTTAAGTTCAAAAAACTTCACAGATGGTCCCTGTGGTTTCAAAACTTTTAACAAATGATCATTTTCGCTAACTCTGTTAACATTTAGCCGTTAAGTGAAAGACATTTATGTTATTTCACAACCACAGGGACCGTTTATGAAGTTTTGCCTTAATTTAAAAAAGAAAAGAAAAATAAATATAATTATTTAATATTAAACACCTCTCTCTCTCTCTATCTCTCTCTCTCTCTCTCTCTCTCTCTCTCTCGTGAATCAAATCATTCTTCATTGCCCCAACCATCGCATCATTCCTCACCGTTTATCACCACCAAATTCTACCACTGGTTCCTTTGGTAAACACTTTGATCCCCATCCCATCCTTCTCTTCCTCCCTAAAAGTTCACCAAGAAACGGGTTCTCCGTTTTAGTTACCGGAGCAGACATGAAATCGATTAGCAACCCCAATGAAATCATTCACAAAATCAAGAAACGAGTTCTCTGTTTTAGTCACCAGAGAAGGTAGAAGACGAAATGGGGACAACCCTCCTCCACCCCTCCTACTATTGATCGGAAACAACCAAATCCCCTGAGGATTGCTGCTTCCCTCCACTGCTACTTCGCTGTTTCCTTCCTTTCCTCCCTCGTGTTTTTCCAATGGAACAATGAAGGAACGACCAAGGAGGCCACCAGAGCTACCCCTTGCTATAAAAGTCACCCAACATCATAAGTTGCCTTCGTTTTCTTCCTTCATTTTGGCGATTGTCCAATCCCCCCACCGAACCACCTCTGCTTCCATTCTTCTTTCTCTATTCGATCTAGTGTTTCCTATTCCCCTCGATTTGTGATCGCCGACGACGAGAGAAGAGCCAAGGGGAGTTTGACGGAGATTGACTCCCTTCTTGCGATCTATTTAACCATCAGACCACCATTTTGACTGCCTCCATTCGTGTTCCTTCTCCCCTTTCCCAATCAACGAAGAAGAGGTGTAAACCAACAAGGGGTTATCGGTCTCAACGGACATCCTTTTACCTCCTCGTGATTTCCCAGCCGCACCGTACCTCCCATCGATCTGCCTTTTGTTCGTTTGTTCCTTGCCCAATCTAATGGATACGATGATTATTCAAGGTTAAAGTTGCTTTGAATTTTTGGGGAAGATGACACTATAAGAATACCTACTGTACAAGTCTCAAAGAAATATGGAGAGAGAGAGAGAGAGAGAGATTCAAATTTCTTTCATTTTTTCCTTTTTCTATTAAAAAAATTAAGATAATAAGACAAAACCTCATAAATGGTCACCGGATATTGAAATAATGAAAATACCCATCACTTAATGGTTGAACGCTGACGGAGTTAGGTGGACGGACTAAACATTAAAAGTTTTGAAACCACAGGGACCATCTATGAAGTTTTTTGAACTTAGGGACTAAACTTGATATTTTCGGAAACCACATGGATTATTTTAGAAGTTTTGTCTTTTTTAATTAACGATTTTGGTTGCCGGTAATAAACGTCGTCGCTAATTACATAACAACATTCGATTAAATATTGTGACAACCTGATATTTCGACTCTATGTAATGACCTAAAAAGTCAAGTATTGTAACCACTTTTGAAAATAATTAAATTAACTTTGAAAATAAAATGTACAAATGTCTCTATTTGGTTACCTACTATGTTAGATATCATTAAACTGTGAACATACATAAAAAGAACGCCCAAATCTGAATTCGTATGAGGAAATTATGAATTTTCGAAGTTTCTAACCTACCAGTAGACAACTAAAAACTCCAAATAGAGATCGAGTGGTCTTTAGCTGACACAACCTATACGAGAGTTGAAGACGCCGACAATAGGGGTATGATGTGTGTGAAACTCACTTAGTTTTAATCCTACTTTTAGTTGTAAAATAAACACACAAAGGCAGTGTACCTATCAATTGTGGAATAGTTTAGGCAAGTAGGGTATCGAACACAGGGAACGGCAAATTAAAAATAAAAACTAATTCTATCTAAGTTAATTAAGAAGTAGGGGTTTTTCTCTAGTTTTACAAGACTAGAAACTTACTAACTATTACTAATTTGAGACTAGAAAATAACGACTTAACTAGATTCAATAATTGGAAAGGAACTTCTGTTTAGTTCAACTTGGTTAACTCTATGGTTGATTTCAAGGTAATAGTGCAATGGATTAATCCTTTCGTTGGTTACCGATTCAGGTGATTAGATTTGTGTTCACTACCCTAATCCTTAGCAAATAAACTAACTTAAACAGTGGCCAATTGTCTAATTTAATTATATTCATTAGATTAATTATTCGGGTTAAGTTAGACTTGCAATAGTTAACTAATTTATTCTTTTAATTAACTTCTTGTTTGATGGTCATCTTACATGCTTGCACATGAATTTACTCAATTTTCTTATTAATTCTAGTTTCATATTCATTAATCCTAGACATATAGTATAGTGATCACATAGCATATGAGGTCAATAATCAATAGATGTTCATGCTAATCAATTATCTTCCTATTAACAGAAAATTAATTATTATTCACACACAAGGTTCTTTAGCAAGCTAAAATAACAAAAATTCACCAACTTGGAGTTAATCCTACCAATCAATCAAACCATATTGTCAACTTTGTATCCCCAAACAGAAGTCTAAAGGTTTTAGTTCATAATTAAAGTAAATAACAGCAAACAAACAAAGTCAAGTTGCTTAATCATAATGATAAAACAAAAGAATAAGTGGAATGATGAAATTTTGCCTTAATTACTCTCCGGAATTGAATTCTAGCTTCCTTCGTCGTCTTCTAGGGTTTTTCTGGCTTCTCAATCATAGCAAAGTACTTCTGAATCATCCCAGAACTCTCTTCAATCGATCTGTGGAATTATCTTTAAATATACGAATCGACTCGTCGAGTCAAGTGATGACTCGTCGAGTCCCTCTCACATTCCCCGTATTGCGATAACTCTTTGGGATCTTGAGTCATTATCTTCTCGATTCTTCGATTGAACTCGCCGAGTAGTCGATCTGACTCGCCGAGTAGATGTCATTTTTAGTGTTTTTCTTCTTTATTCCATTCTCGATCTTCTAACTGTTTCTCCCGCTTCCTATCGCTTCCGAGCTTCATCTTTGGACTGAAAAACATAATTTAACACTTTTAAGTACCTTTTGTCCATGAAATGCAATAATTTAGCTAATAAATGAATAAAAATCTATACTTAATACAAACTAAATATGCACATATCAAAATACCCCACACTTGACTTTTGCTTGCCCCCAAGCAAAACTGAATTTTAAGACATTAGAATTATGTATGACAACTCCAATCTAACCTAGCCATTATGCCAAGAACGCAACGCATGCATTTGTGTCTAAAATCTTTCCTAAACCCCCCCCCCCCTCATACTCCAAATACTCACAATCCTCATAAACATTCGCCCACTCACACCGAACTATGCTCATTTTATGCAACCCTCCGAATCC